TTCAGCGTGAGGATTTATTTCATTTTATGAGGGCAAATGAGGGCATTTTTACCTTAAATATCTTGTTAATTTGGTCGATTTCAGATTTTCCAGGGAAAAGAGGTTTCTGGGTGAGCAGCTCCCCAAATATGCAGCCCACTGACCACATGTCCACAGCTGTGGAGTACTCCTGTGGAGAGAAGAACAAACACAGTGGTAGACCGCAGAAACACAAAGTAGACAGTCTGCCTGGCCGGCTGCGGCGTCAGAGTTGTGTCTCGTGTGTGTGAGTGAGAATGGATGTGCTCTGACAGACTGCTGGACCTCGAGCGTCTGGTGGTGTAAATCAGGGGTTCCCAACCTTTATTGTGCCAAGGACCGGCAGATACATAAAAAAAAAATGGCGGACCGGTTGTCAATTTTAACTGATTTTAATATTTACTCACCAGCAGGTAGCAACAGAGGCTAATTGTATGCAACAGCCTGATCAAATACTAGAACAATATGCATCCAAAACATATTAACGTTTAAAAAAAAAAAAAGGACAAAAAAGAACCGGTGTTGTTTTTTGGAAAAACGGAAAACAAAAAAAACGACGTTATTCAGTTTTTAAATCAAAACGGGAAAACAGATAAATCAACGTATTGGTTTTGTTTGTATGATTTACGGCTAATCATAAACAGCGCTGAGCACACACATCATGCGCATTGGTGACCGGACATCTCCTTCATAAAACGAGTAATAGGGGGAATAATCGTGTGTGTGTGTGTGTGTGTGTGTGTGTGTGTGTGTGTGTGTGTGTGTGTGTGTGTGTGTGTGTGTGTGTGTGTGTGTGTGTGTGTGTGTGTGTGTGTGTGTGTGTGTGTGTGTGGTTAACACGTAGCAGCCTGCAGTCACTCTTTAGCTGTTCTAATGAAAGTAAACACAGTGAAGGCGGTGCGTAAAAAGGCACAGCTCTTTACGCGCTGGTACTGCACTTCTCAGAGGCGGAGTACACGTCCCGCTGCCTCCTGATGCTGCAGCCATTTCATGAAGTGAAGGAGGCTTTCCTTCTATAAAACAGCAGATACCGTGAAGTCCCGGACATGAATTCATAGATCAAGGCTGACTGGTTCACAGACTCTCCTGTTCTGCGAATCCGGTGCTTAAACAAATAGCTCTACACCCCTGGCCGACATGTCCTTAAAATTATGTCTGAGTTTGAAATATATCTCAAATAATGTATGCACTGCCATTTCCCCACATAAACATAACAGTCTGAAATGAAACGGTTGTCTCCTGTGCGCTCCTCTTCCTACTTGGCGCACCGGTAACTTTCTCGTGCGAACGAGAGGCTGAGACCTTAGGCTGAGCCGCCGAATCCCTCGGAACACCATAAAAGCCATTTTCAACTGTTTTCTGGTGAAAGTTTAACTAGGCTACTGGATGAAATAATATGACTGGTATAGGTACGAAAATTGAAAAACATGATAAAATATTTTTACATATTTATAATTCTGCAAATATTACGATAAATTCACAAGTATTTCGCGGCCCGGCAGTAACACCTCCGCCCGGGGAACCCCTGGTGTAAATTAGATACTGTAAAACTAAAACAGTGTTTCAGTGGCATTTGGATCTCATAAACGTTTCTTCTCTTGGAAATATATCACTGGGCAAACCACAATCAATCACGATGGTGTGACCACATATATGAAAAGTATTTGCAAAAGTATTTCTTATGAAGTGTGGATGCAGTACAGTTGAATTCTCACCTTGGCTCCGAGCAGCAGCTCCGGTGATCGGTACCACAGGGTCACCACTACGGGGGTGTAGGGCTTCAAGGGGGAGCCGTACTCCCGGGCCAAACCAAAGTCGCCAATCTACATGACAGGTCAGATGCCCAACATTAAAAACGTTTTCAACAAGATGCAGTGATTCACATTTTCTTGTGAGCTTGCATGCATAACTGAAAAATTTCGTTTATTTAAACATGCCTTACATTTTGCGAAACATTCATGCTCAGATTGACTTATAGTCAACATGTGTTGTTTGTGCAAGTGTGCTCCCGCTCTGGGAAGAGTTGCACATCAAAAGATGGATTAAAGTACTCCTTTCACAAGTTTATTTACTCTATCAAAACATACCATATTTAATTATGGATAAGCTCTTTTCCCCAGGTAACTTAACCTTTGAACTTCTGCAGTGTTCTTACGGTTTCAATGCTTGTCTATTTACACAACTTTCACACAAAGATCTCCTAAAATAAACGCCCTTTTTGCTTCAGCCTTTCACAGGACAGCTTAATAAAAAAAACAAGGAAATTAAAAAAAAACATCCATTTTCATTACTATCTGCTCTATTGCTAATCTCAAATGTTATTAAGACATGTGACAACTGTATACACAGTGGCCTTATCCTGGTGGCTAGGGTCTGTGATGTTAAAATAACCAAAATCAATCAACAGTCCTTGCTGTTGGACATTAATCCAAACCAACAAACCTCTCAGTTTGCCTATTCTACTTCAATTAACAATGTTGCTACATTTCCCAGAAAGCCAGACTATAGGCACACCAAGTACTTTTCCCACAAAGGTTCCTGAGAACTACGATTTAGTTGCGTTCACACCAAAAGGTCCCAGGAACTAAATTAGTTCTAGAGAAGCTTTTTTACCCCCTTTTCAGTCCCTGCTAGAGAGCAGGGACTTTCGTGGGAGAAAAAGTTTCCTGTGTCTGATTGGCTGGGCGGAATGCAAACCACGCCCCGTCAAACTCCCAAAAACGTTTGTGAAGCCGCCATTTTATTATCCTCGCATTGCATTATTAGCATTAGCCCAGCGCAGAAACGCAGAGAGACTAACTTATGACAACACAAAATAAAACATGGGAGATGGGTGGGGATGAGGAGGTGTCGGCGTTCTGGCCGTTTACTTGGAAGGCTTCAGTAGAAGCTGCTGGGAGTCCCAGCAGCTTCTACTGAAGCCAGTCCCTAACTCCGGGGACTTCGGGCCGGGGATTTTGGGCGGCAGTATACGGCGTGAAGTTGTTTGCGGCCTGCCAGTAAACCCAAAGCAGAAGAAGAAGAAGTGACGTCAGCGGCTTCATTTACCTAATCCACCCCCAGGAACTAATTTCCGGTGTGAACGCGATCTGTACTTAGTTCATGAGAACTAAAGAGTTCTCAGGAACCTTTGTGGGAAAAGTACTTGGTGTGAACGCGCCTAATGGAAGTTGTCCATGTATGTGTGTTGCACTCTAGTAAGTAAAACATTTAAAATAAGGTTA